TATACCTAAACTATTATAATAATTTCTAATATAATTATATTTTTAGATTTTAATTTTTTAGTTAATTTTTTAACTTTATTCAAAAATAACTTTATATTATTAAAATTATTTAAATTAATATTAAATAATTTATTAATAATAAGAAAATTTAAAAAAAAACTTTAATTATTATATAAGGTTTTTAAACTTTTTTAAGCTTTAAAGGTATTATTATAATACTTTATTTATAATAAAAAGCTATTTAATAACTTAAGATTTATATTTATTAATACTTTTTTAGATTTATTATATTCTTTTATTTTAATAGTATTTATTAACTTTTCTTTTATTAAAAAAACTTCTATTTTAAGCAATTAAGTTATATAATTTTTACTTTTTTAAAGTTTTAAAATAATATTTTTTTTAATATTTATTTTTATAAAATAATTAATATAAAATTAATTTTTTATATAAATAGTTTAGAAATTAGATTTTTAAAAAGCTAAATCTTAGTGCTTTAAAATATATTATTTTTTATTAAAAAATAATAAAATTTAAAAAAGTTATTATAAAGTATTTATTTTTATAAAAATTAATTATATTTTATTTAAAAATATTATTATTAAATTAAATTTTTATTAAAAAAGAAAGGTTATTAAGTAGATTTAGTAGTGTAAATAAAAGGTTATTAGCTAAGCTATTTATTATTTTATTAAAAATAATCAATTTAAGTTTATAATTTATAAGATTTTTAAATTATAAAGTAATTAGTTTTATTATTAATTTAATAATAAAAAATTAAAAGTAATTAAAAATAATTAATTTTATTTATTAAATTTATTAATTAATTAAAGTTATTAATATAAGAAACTTAAGAAAAACTTTTATTATTTATATTTTAAAAATTAATATTAATAATTAAAATTAAAATATATAAAAACTATTATTAAATAACTTTAAAATTAAACTATTTTTTAATATAACTTATATATTTTAATTTTTTTTACTAATTATATAATTATTAAATATTTATAAATTATTTTTAGAATTTATTTTTAAGCTTAATAAAAGATTTAACTTAAATTTAAATTTTATAATTTTTAAGCTTTTTTTAAAGTTCCCCTTTTATAATTTTAAAAACCTACTTTTTTAAGTAATTTTATTAACTTAAAGCACTTATATAAGTGGGATTTTAACCCTTTAATTAATTAAATTTTTTATAAAAGTAAATCTTTTAAAATTAATTTTAATTTTTAAACTTTTAAAAAACTATACTTTATAATACTTTAAAGTATTATAATTCCCTATAATTTTATAAACTTATAAAGCTTTATAACACTAAGCTTAATTAAGTAATAGCTATTAAAAAATCCATAAGCTAAACTTAATTAAGTAATAGTTTATAAATTATAAAGTAAGTTAAAATATTAATATATAAGTATAGCTTATTATTAAGGGTTATAAGGGTTATAGGGGATAATTAACTATAAATTACTATAGTTAATACTATAAGCTAGCTAAAGGCTCTAAAGGGTACTAAAATAACCGCTATAAGCTCTATTTTCTAACTATAGCAATAGCTATAGTCTAATATATTTATTATAAATTTATTATTAAAATATATTTTTTTTTTAAAAATAAAAATAAAAATAATTATTTTACTTTTCCTTAAAATAAAAAAAGTAGTTTTTTTTTATTATTTATTAAAAACTATTTATTTAATAATAGTAGAAGAGTTTTTTAATTAAGTTTTTTAAAAGGTAGTAAAAGCTATTATTATCCTAGGTTTTTTAATAAAGGTAGTAAAAGTAAAAATAAAAGATATTTTATTTAATAGCTAGTTAAATAAAATAAGGTTTTTTAGTAAAGGGGTACCTAAAAGGTAGGGTACCTGTAGGTGTAGGAGGGAAGCTTATTGTCCTTGTGGCATGTTCTATTAATGACTAATTTGCATATCAACATAAATTTAACCTGGTGTGTTACCTTAAGAGGTTGCTTGATACCACTCTATTTTTCCAAAACCCTAGCAAAACAAAAGCGCCCATCAGCTCTTGTCACACTTTTCTAATATGAGAGACGCATCCACATCCAATATCAGCATCGAAGCTGTTCCCTTCATGAAGAAACGGATCGTCGTCACTATAGAGGATGATATTGACTGTTTCCGTCATCACTTTCAGTTCATTTTTCCGATCAGTAGTGTCGTCGAGGCTGACCCGAATGCTCGCCGCGGCCATTACTCCCTGCTGGACGCTGTCATGCTGGCAGCCAAGGCGTATCTGCCCGACCCTTTTGTCTTTCAGTACCCCTCATTTCACTTATATCTGTATGAGGATAGGCACTGGGGGTTACCCTGCTGGCTGAGGGAAGGGGCAGGCATACGGTGGCAAAGGCGATCTGCGAAGAAGTTCAGCAGCAGCTGGCTTTCCCAAAGGGGCGCTTAAGCGAGCTGAAAGATATTGAAAACACAGCGCTCTTAGTTCTCACCTTTTCCTTCCCGTTGCACAACATGTTTTCTATTTATCAACTATATGATACTTGTACTTTCTGATATATCTGACGTACTGCACGGCGTCTCTTTCTACTTCATGAACGACGAAAACCAAGCATGGAGGATGATCGGGCTTGCTGCACGCCTGTATATCGAGCTCGGTTTACGTCAAGCAAACTCCCTACAATGAATCCATCCTAACTCCAAGATTGCTGCGAGAGGGCTTACACTTTTCTGGGATATTTATATCCTTGACCGATGCTTTAGCCTCAGCACGGGCAGGCCATTTGCAATACAGGACATAGATACATGTATTGATCCAGCGTTATCGAAACCAGTTAGCAGCCTTCAAATGCTATCGTAGTCTTACATCACTTGTGTCTCCGAGTGCTGCTGTTCTCTTTGTGCCTATGATGTATTGCATCTCACGTCACTGACCATCAAAAGGACGAGCTATCACCGTATGTCCGCAGCATGATTGCCTTTGCAAGTATTGGATCTCGTACATGGGCCTCATGCGTCCGTTCCGAAGGCAACGGCTTACACGACGAGCGGGAAGAAATTGCCAGCCTATGTTTTTCAAATCCAACAGTGGAGCAACGCGCTCCCCCCTTCTTTGAGGCTATTCGACCACCAAACTTCTTCCCTTGAGGACATAAACATGGTCGCAGCTCTCACCATACCTCTTGACTATGTTGCAATAGGAGGTCAGTCCTTATTCATTCCCGCGCTGCTCTATCTCCGCGTCAATGAGCTTCGTATTTTAATCCACAGACCTGCACTTCATTCATCCGCTTCAATCCAGAAGAACCCTCTGAGTGTGCGCATTGCCATCAACGTTGCGCGGCGTTCGGTCAACGTGTTATTGTATCTTTGTCGCCTGCGAGCTCTTCATTCCATGCACCACGTCTGGGCGACCCATTTCCTAACTTCCTCGCTTACCGTTGTTGCTCTTGGCAGTCTCCCACGCACAGAAAGATTTTGATTACAAAGTCCGTGATCAGTTACTCTCCGTTCTTAGTTTGCTGGAAGATCTCAGCACGACGACTAGCCACTCAAAGATCCTCTGGTGTGCCGTCCGAAGTTATCGATGTCGGGTGAGGAGACTGGGTCAAAAGTTCCAAGACAAGATAATTAGCAACGAGCAGGCAGCATCCGTAAAGGATGCATTCTTAACGCCAACGCAAGATACGGAAGGATCTGCTACAGGTTGTAGGAGGGAGGGGGTTCCAGTATTTGATTGGAATACCACGCCGGGTCAGGCTTTGCCTAAAGAATGGTGCAGCGAATTGCAAGAAATGAGAGGACAATTACTTCCAGAGTTTGATTTCATGTAAAGGATATGGGAAGTAGGCACTAAAATCGATGGAAATCAGATTCCAAAAGATCATCAATTCAACCAGCTACAACGTAGAATCTCTACATAATTCTCTCTTGACCATCAATAATCTCTTCCTGCATTGTGAGACCCCGAGGCTAGGCGTAAATCATTAGTTCCCTAAGGTTATCGTAGCGAAGAGTAACACTAGCTTGACTTACAGTTAGTCGACAAAAGTGCCAATACGCTCCACAGTACACCAACATTTGCCTAACAAAGTCTATAAGTAACACTCCCTTATATCTCATAAATTAATAACGGTTTTTATCTCAAAGTAATAATATAAGCTAATTATATATTATGTTTTATTATACTAATAGTTATATTATATTATCTTTTATATAAAATTACTAAATACTTTATATAAAGTATTGTTACAGATAGTTGCAGTAATATTTATAATGCATTTATACTATAACTTTATTATAACCCGTTTATAATATAATTAATAAACACTATATATTTTAAAAGTTAAATTATATAATAAAAAAATTAAAAACATTATATTAAAATTCTATTATTAAATTATAAACAAGTTGTTTAATACCTTTTATATATACTTTTTTTCAATATTATTAAAGGTTGTGTTTTACAGGCTATTATAGAGTGTATATTACGGCCTAAACTAATGAAGTATGTACTACAGTAAAACTATAGGTAAGCGTAATTAATAAAAGCCTAGCCCTCTCTCTCTTACGTAAGTACATACTGTAAAGATTATAAAAATAGCTTTATTTTTATAAATATAATAATATATATTTAAGTAAAAATAAAAGAATAATTAAATATATAAGTTTACTTTATTATAATTATTTAAATAGTTTAAATAGCTAATTATTAATAAAATATTAAAACTAAATATAAATTTAACCTTTTATTTTACTTTTATATATTTATAATTATAACTGCTTAAAAGCTATTTTTTATTTTTTTTATTAATATAAATCTATAACCTAAGTTTATTACTTTAAGAACCCTTACCCTATATTAAAAATAAAAATTAAAACATTATATATTAATAATTTTTATTTAAAAAAATATTAATTATTTTTTAAGTAAAAAAACTATTATACTTAGATCTTTATTTAGTAATACCTTAACTATTAACTTTAATATATTTAAATTTAATAAAAAAAAAATATTATTATAAAGAATACCTTAGACTAAGGAAATTTAATTAAAGATTAAATTATAATAGTCTTTTAAAATATATTTTAATTTAATAAAACTTTTATTAAAAAGGCTATTAAAAATAAAAAATAATTAATTAAAAAAAATATTAGAATTTTTATTAAATAATAGCTATTGCTTATATATAACGGAAGTGTTAAAAAACTTAGGGAATATTTAATTTAATTTAAAGCTTATTTTAAAGATTTTAAAAATATTTTTAATATTTTTAAAAAAAAAGTTTATTTTATAGTATTTTAATTTAAGGGATATATACTATAATAGTTCCAATTTATCTTAAATAACTATTTAAATAACTAAAATAAAGTTATTAATAATAAAATTAAAAAAATCTTTAATAATTATAAAAAATATATAAAAAAATTAAAAAAAGCTTTTAAAAATATTAAAGAAATTTATATAGTTAAAAACTAATTTATTAATATATATTAAAAAAGAAAATACTTAAATTATATAATAAACTTTAAAAATATTTTTATTAAAGTTAACTAAAAAAAATTAACTTTTATTAAATAATTTTATAATAAATTTAAACTAAAGTTTAAAAAAAAATATATAACTTTAATTAAATTATATATAACTTTATATTATTTATAAATAAATATATTAAAGTTAATAACTTACTTTATAAATTAAAAATAAATATCTTTAAGAAAGTATATAAAAAAAATAAATATTAAATAAATTAAAGTAAAAAATAATAAAATTATATTATTAAAAATAATAATAATAAATTAAAAAAAATAGACTTTAATATTATATAAAAAAAAAAGATTTTAAATATTATAATTATAGTAAATTAAAGTATATAATTAAAAATTATAAAACTTTAAAAAAAAATAAAAAAAAAAATAAAATCCCTAAACTTAAGAAAGAAATTTATTTTATAAAAGAAGGAAGCTAAATAATAATACTTTTATAATAAGTAAATAGCCTTATTTATAAAAATTTTAACTTTAAATTAAAAGGTATTATTTTAAATATAGAAATATTTAAGGAAAATAATATTTAAAAGAATAATTATAAAGGGAATTTATAAAATTATAAAATACCCCCAGCCCTTTA